GAGAAAACACAGGCAGTAGCTCCTAAAATAGAGGTGTAGGTAAGGACTTTCTGAATAAGTTTCCATTTGCTCAGGAATTCAGGCCAACAATTGACAAATAGGACCCTGGATCAAAGGCCTTAAACAGCTAGAAGAAAACAGCCAGTATCCTTCAAAATGCAGGTGTGGGAAAGGACTTGAATAAGAGTCTATTTGCTCAGTAATTCATGCCAACAGTTGACAAATAAGACAGAATAAAACTTAAAAATCTGTTGTACAGCGAAAGAAACACAGTTCAGTGAAGTGGAATTCCAGCATAGAGTCTTTGTCAGCTATACACCAGACAAAGAATTAGTATCCAGAATATATAAAGAGCTCTAAACCATTTAAAAGAATCAAAGAACAACCCAATTAAAGATAGGCTATGAATCAGAAGAGAGAATTTTCAGAAGAAAAAAGTAAAATGACCACGAAATACCTTTACCAGAGTTCAACATCCTTAGCAACTGGGGAAATGCAAACTAACAGCACTTTAAGATGTCATGTACTCATTTTACCCCAGGCAGAATGTCAAGACCAAGAAAAGGAATGCTGTTGAAAATGTGGGGAAAGGAGAGGCCTTTGAGATTGGTGTTATTACAAACAGGTGGAACCAACTGTGAGAGAACTCTATTTTAGAACAATTCTTTGGTATACGTAGGATTTTATCATTTATTAAAGACAAGCAAGTTTGCACCAGAATTGGGATAGATATGCTTGTTTATTTTTACGTGAACTAAATATTATCCAGGACGGTCATATTTTAATTTTATAATCTGTAGTGCTGGAAATACCACTTAATATCGATACACACAAAATATCAGTAGCATGTTCATGGCTATTTCAGAAATTGTTGAAAATTCAGTACTAATCTCAGGCCAAAATTCATATAATCATATTTTTTATGAAATTCAAGTCAACAACTCAAACAACATTTAAAAAATCAAACATTTTAGCACATATATGTTAGCACAAGATATATTTAGTAGAAGATACATTAATTAGATACTTATGGGGAATGACGATAGAAAAATAATATGGGTTTGTTTTCTATAAAAAACCATTAATGCTTCTTTTAAGAAAAGTTTTATCTATTTTATTTTATGTGTTTGGGTGTTTTTGCACAATGGTTATGTATCTGTTGCCTCAGGATACCAAAAGAGTGTGTTAGACCTGGAACTGGAATTACAGATGGTTGTGAACCTCTATGCCTGGGTCTTCTAGAGGAGCAAACCAGTGCTCTTAACCCGTGAGCCATCTCCCTGGCTCACCTTTATGTTTAAGAGTAGGAAATGTTGCACCATAATATTGCACATGTTTTGTTTTGTTTTTGCAATTCATACCGCACAGTAGTCCAGTCTAAGCCAAGCTATTGCAGGCAGCATTTGTTGCTCTTGTGCGGTGTTGGCATGCGCAATGCTGGGGGCACAGGGGTGAGGTCTGCCAGAAAAGCCAGGGACTCACTAGGAGTTTGATTTTGAACTTGAGTTTATTTATTTATTTATTTATTGCTTTTTTTTTTGAGACAGGGTTTCTTTGTAGCTTTGGTGCCCATCCCGGAACTAGCTCTTGTAGACCAGGCTGGCCTCGAAGGCCCAGAGATCCGCCTGCCTCTGCCTCCCGAGTGCTGGGATTAAAGGCGTGCGCCACCACCGCCCGGCTCTTGAGTTTATTTTTGATCATTTATTCAGATCCCCTCATTTAGGTCCAGGACTAGATATAGTGCTGAGAGCCGTCGTAGAAGATGCACACAAATAATAAACCTTTTCCTTTTGCTAATTGGGTCTTTTGTTTGTTGTTTTCTATGTATCCATGTTCATATGTGTGCCTGTACACATGCAGGCATATGTGTGGAAGCCAAAGATTAGTGTTGGATCTTGCTCAGTTGCTGTTATTGTTTTGAGACGACAGTCTTTCATAGGACTTCGAGTTTGTTGAGTTGGCTAGACTGGCTAGAAAGCCCTACGGATCCTCCTGTCTCCACCTTTCCAATGCTAGAATTACAGGCATCCCTGGCATTTTGGCCTAGTTGGTGGGGATTGAACTCAGGTCCTCATGATTTAATAGCAAACACTTTACTCATTGAGCCATATTCCCAGTTCTCATCTTACTCTTTATTCATTTGCCCATTTTTTATGTATTTATTGTATCGTGTCTCTGTGTACACGTATGCATTTGTGCACGTGTGTACCTGTGGAGGACAGAGGACAGTTGTATAATTGGTTCTTTCCTTTCTCCAGCTGTGATAAGGGGATCGAGCTCACACTGTGGAGGACAGAGGACAGCTTGTATAGTTGGTTCTTTCCTTTCTCCAGCTGTGATAAGGGGATCGAGCTCACACTGTTACACGTGGTGGCAAGTATATTTGCCACTGGAGCAACTTACTGGCCCATTTTGCTTTTCAAAGTCCCAGACTGTTACTCTTGAGCTCCGCCACTGACTTACATCCTCAGCCTATTGTTTATTCTATTCCCTGGCTCTTGAATAATGTGGATTGGTGAGAGGAAAGGCTTTCACCTTTCTTGAAACAGCCTTTAAGGAAATTTAAGGGGGGTGGTGGGGTGGCTCAGTGGTTGAGAGCACTGGTTGCTCTTCCAGGAGACTTGTAGATCTTCTCAGCACCCACATGGCAGTTCACAGCCATTTGTTTCTCCTGTTCGCGGGGATTCAGCACCTTCTTCTGTCCTCTTTGGGCACCAGGCACACATGTGGTACACAGACATGCATTCAGGCAAAATACCATGCACCTACAATTTTAATAAAATTAAGTTTTAAATAAATAAAAGAAAACTTAAGGAACCAGAGAGCTGGTTCAACAGTTAAGAGTGCCTACTGTTTTCTGGAGGACCTGATTTAGTTCCCGGCACCTGATTTTGGGCAGCTTACAAACCACCGTGTCCTCTGAGCTCCACAGGTACTCATGCACTGTGGTTCGTGCGCACAAGTGAATGCATGTGCACAGAGACACAAGACAATAAATACATAAAAAATTTCCAGCTCCAGAGGATCCAGTGTGCTCTTGCCTCTTTGGCACCTGCTCATTCACACCTACACACCCACACACAGAGATAAAAAATGTTATAAAATCTTAAAGAAGAAAAGAAAACTCAAGGTGAATACCCTTTTGCCGAAGGAGGACTCAAAGAGGATAAGGCAGATGGTCATCCAGGAGAGTCTCGCTCATGGTTAGTTGAACCCTAGAAGCTGAGGTCCTTTCTGGTGATACTCATATACACCCTCCCTCTGCAAGCATGTCTTCCCTAGCTTTCTGTAAAACTGACCCTTATTTCTGCACTTACTTCCTAAGCTTATCCCAACAGTCACCATACAACAGAGTGTTCTTTTAAAACCACGTTTAGTATTAGGAGCCTCAAGCATGTTTATTGAATATATATATGGATATATATGATTATATGTATGGATAGATTTACAAAATATTTAGAGTAAAGCTGTGCTGTCTCCATCCCTTGTGTCTTCCTTTTAATTGCTTCAGGAGAATAAAACTTTGGCTAGTTTTCACTGTTTGTTGTGTTCAGGTATTTTCCTGTACAGCTTAAGGGCCATCTACTTGAAGAGAGTGGTCAATGCTGAGGTTGGGGCATAGAAACATTATTCAGAGATTATTATGCTTTTTCTTAGTTTTGCTTTGGCACACCTTTGAATTCTTTTGTATTTATACTGATTGTTGATTTTGGAACTTCATTCTGAGATTTGAAACTCCCATCTGTTTGGGAAGATACTGTCCAGAATTTCTGTAAATATTGATTCTCCTCTGTCTTCCCTCCCCTTCCCTCCCCTCCCCAGGTCTCTGGTTAGATGTATGAGAGACTATTTTACTCCTGTCCCCACCCCACCACCCCTTTTTTTGAAGTTCTCCTTAAATCCTTCACAGTAACACTTTCATCATTTTAGAAATTTAATCCTGGATGATGTTTATAGGAACCAAAATCTTAGGAAGGAGGGGACAGCAATCAAGTAAGTCCAGCTCCCCGAGCCCTTCCTCTCCTGTGTCTGCACTGATAAACTTTACACAGAAATCAAACTCATGAAAAATAAGCAAAAAGAAAGTTCTTCATGAATCCGTGTTCTTGCAACATGAACACTAATTTTATTGAATGTCTTGTTAAGTCTGTTTCATCATCTCAGTTAATCTGAAGGTCTTATCAGATAGCTGAAGAGCTTTTTATAGTGTATATTGTGAAATACCTTAAACCTGACCTATAAGCTTAATTCTCATCTTTTGCTTTAAAGCCCTGAATTTTTAAATTGCTCATTTGATATAGCTAATTTTCACAATTTATTTTACATTTTCCTAGAATTTAAATTATTTTCCCACTATGAGTTTGTCACTGGAGACAGTTTAGGAAGGACAAATAACCAGAGTGTATGCTCTGACAGAGAACGTTCTCCTGAGTCTGATTGCACAGCTAAGAGCAATGTTATAAAGTGTAAGATAAAACAATGACAACCAAGCCGATGTGGTATTTATCATGTGGTTTGAATTTATGCTTTATTACATGCCTTTAAAGCTAGGTAAGATGAAGCTTACCCATCTGGTTTTCTCCTTGATTAGTTTGAGTACTGTTCCTATTCAGTTGACTAATTAAAGTCTTATTTCTTAGGCATTTGATGGCTAGTGGGATCAAAGTATTCAAAATTATGTCTGCTCTTCGTTACCTGATCTCAGGTCTTCTCCCAGTGCCATGAGAAGAACGTTCATCTGAATCTACAAATGATAGAGCAGTTTAAAGACTTTAGAAGTCCTGTTATCTGAGCCGGGCGGTGGTAGTGCACGCCTTTAATCCCAGCACTCAGGAGGCAGAGGCAGGCGGATCTCTGGGAGTTCGAGGCCAGCCTGGTCTACAAGAGCTAGTTCCAGGATAGGAACCAAAAGCTACGGAGAAACCCTGTCTCAAAAATCCCCCCCCCCCCCAAAAAAAAGAAGAAGTCCTGTTAATTTACTGTTGCTTTTCCCTCTGTAGAAAGATGTCTTCCAGCAATGACCACGTTTTAGTACCAATGTCTCAGAGAAACACCAACGGCCTTCCTGGAATGAACTCCAGCGACATGACGACGCTTACAGGAGATGTGTTGAGTTTTCACAACATCACCTATCGAGTGAAAATGAAAAGTGGGTTTCTAGGCCGGAAAAAGACTGAGAAGGAAATACTCTCGGATATCAAGTATGTGTATGAACTCTTTAAAGGACTGTTTTGTTTGCCTGCAGTACCTTCACAGGGCTTCTGTTAGCAGCAAGTTATGGATATAGACACATACTTTCATTTCTTTGGTCTAAACTAGGACATAAATTGCTGTATCTCTTGTTAGGCATATATTTTGCTTGCAAAGGAACTGTCAAAAAAATTTTTTTAAAATTGTCTCATCTTTTTGAACATTTTAATGTACCATTTTGTCATGACTTGTAAGTCTTATGTATTAGTGGTAGAGGTCTGACTTTGCAATTTATAGTGTTTTGATTGCAAAGATGTAGTTGTAACCTCAGATTTAGTTACCCAGTCTCTGGAATAGAAGACCTGCGCGCACGCGCACACACACACACACACACACACACACACACACACACACACACACAGAGAGAGAGAGAGAGAGAGAGAGAGAGAGAGAGAGAGAGAGAATTGTGTGTATTTGTACTGAAGAATAGAGACGGCATTATTTGAAGGTCCTGTTTGAATAGATGCACAGTACGTACTGTGAGATGGTACTCAGTGTGTGGATGCATGTTGTGTGTAATGTTGAGGATTAAACTAGAACTTAGTGAATGCTAGACAAGTGTCCCTTGTGATTCTTTTCAAACTCATCACATACTGAGTGTATCATGTGCCCCAGGCTTCACAGTGCGCTTGACTAGGATGGCGTGGCGCGCACATTAGCAAAGGAGGAAACGATTATCTTAGAATCCCCTAGACTAATAAAGTGGAGGCAAATCTTGCTTTTTTTTCTTATTTTTAGTTCAATTTTTATAGTCAAAGGGACAACTAGGATTAATTAATATTCTTGCTCACTCACATCTGGTTAGAGTTTGCATGAGAAAGGTCTTTCCTCTGCCTAAAGGGTTTCTAATCTTTCTCTTGCCCCGAGCTTCAAATAAGAGGTGGTACAGAAAGGATTGCTTTGTTTCCTTATGTTTTGTTTGTGTTAGGTAGTAACATCTCCATTCAAAATGGTTATCATATTGTAAAAACCCTGAGGAGAATCAATTTTTCTTTGGATCTTCATTTTATCTTTTCTTGTCTGAAAGAAAACAATTTGTTCGTGAGAATGCCCAAGATTTTTTTCCCTGGTGTCCAGTCTTTCTATTACACTAACTTTGTCTCATACTCGGCCCCTGAGCTTTTCTTCCTGGTGCTGAAGATCTCAGGAAGAAATCACCATCCTAGTACACGTGTCTGTCATGTAATTGGGTGGGTGGGGGAGGGGATCCATTATACTCTTGCGAAGATCATTAAGCAAATTATTTTGAGATAATTTCAGAATTAAACTGTAACATGGAGGGTCCTGCTAGTTGGGGGTTTCTGTCCCGCCCGGTACCCCAAAACTGTTTAGCCCCAAAGAAAATCACACATAGGTCTCCATAAATTATAAGATGATTGGCCCATTAGCTCTAGCCTCTCATTGACTAACTCTCACATCTTGATTAATCCATTTTTCTGATCTATGTTAGCCATGTGGCTCAGTACCTTTTTTCAGTGGGGCAGATCACATCCTGCTGCTTCAGTGGTCTGGGCAGGAGTGGGAGGAATCAACTTCCTCCTTCCCAGAAGTCTCCTGTTCTCATTACATCATTTCTACTTTCTGTCTGGTTTTCCTGTCTATATTTCCTGTCTGGCTAATCAGCGTTTATTTATAATATGATTGACAGAATACAGACAATTCTCCCGCACCATAGCCTGAGAGGCAGAGACAGACGGATCTCTGTAAATTCAAGGATAGTCTGGTTTACAGAGGGAATTCCAGGACAAAGATACACAGAAAACCTGTCTCAAAAAGCCAAAAGTTATAAAAATAAAAAAAAAGAGGTTAAAATAAAGCCACATAAAGATAAAAAATACACAGAAAATCTTGATACTGTATGTTATTATGCTCTCTTTGAATTGTTTAAATGCTGAGGAAGGAGCAACAGCTGCTAAAAGATATTTGCTTATAAATACTACAGAATTAATCCAAGATAGGATTAATTACAGAGGGAATTCTGTAATTCTGTAAAAATACTTCTTATGTCAAAATAAACCTTAAGCAAACTGAACTCTTAAGTTGCGTTGGGTCGTGGTATTATATCACAGCAGCAGTAGAGTAACCAACACAGCCATATATACTCCTGGATTTCTGTTTTCTTCACTAGCATCAACAACAGTGCATCCCAATCTGGTTGCAGGAAAAACCTTCAGGGTAATTTCCGCTTCTCCTTTACTACTTTGATTTAGTCCTCATTTTTAATATTCCTTTGATACTGAAAGAAGTTCCAGAATCACTGCTGACTTACCCTTCCTGTGACCTGGTCTTGGCTGATGTTCATTTTTTATAGATAATGGTCTATAAAACAATGATAATGATCTGGGTCCTTGGAGTTTTCATTGCTGTTGCAGTGCCATTGCCTCTGTGTTTCTGAATGGGAAGAGCTAGGTAATTTACATATGCATGTATAGACACATATAGACACACACATACTGTTGTTTGAAAAAGAAACCCTGTCTCATATTGAGATGCACATGGATCTTGTTAGGTGGAATGAGAGTGAAGTTGGTAGTGGGTGAGGCTCTGGTGAGGGAGCCGTTAATGGGCATCTACCCTCATCCACATAGCTACTTTCCTAGCTGTGCTTTTCTGTAGCTATCTGTATATAGATAACACCTCATTACCTACTAATATATCAGTTGTAATCTAATACTTTACATTTGATCTGCATTCACATGTTTTCTTTCCCCTCAAGATGTATAAAATTTAGCCACCATTCTTTTCTTCCTTCTATCTTGGGGATTAAACCCAGGGCCTTGGATATGCTAGACAAGTGTTCTACTACCAAGCTGCGTCCTCAGTGTTCATTATTCTTACTGAGCAGCTCAAATGTTCTTATTCTGTCATGGTCATAGAATGATGTATCTAGCTTGTGGCTGTCTCTTCTCTGGTTTCCACCCTCTTTGAAGCTAATGTTCTTGGGTGCTAGTGTTGGCTGTGTAGAACGTATGTAGTCTTCCTGCCGAGAGAGGGAAGAGAAGTCTAATAGAAGTGGCAGGGAGTTGTTAATGTTGAAGTTTAGCTTTTGAAACAAGGTTTAACGAATGCCAAATTAACCTCAAACTCACCATGAAACCAAGAATGGCTTAAATTATTGATCTTCTTGTTTCTATATCCCAGGCTCTAGGATTACAGATGTGACCATCACATCTCCCTAATAAAAAGGATTAATACATTATTTGAATAAAAAAATAACAAATGACTTTTGTGGGCAGATACTTATTTTCAATAAGTGGTTTCCAATTTCTTAATTTATTAATAGAACTTAGTTTAAGTGATACATGAAGATGACATTTACTAATATGAGTATCTTAAGCCGTGGCTTGTTTTGTCTTGTTTTTGTAAAAAAAAAAAAAAGAAAAAAGAAAAGAAAAACATGACTTTCTTAGAAGTACGAAGCTGTAATCTCACTAGTCAGGAGGCTGAGAAAGGAAGATTTCAGTGTGTTGAAGACCAGTTGAGGCTACATAGTTAGTTCTAGGCCAAACTGGACTATAGTGTGAGCAAGTGTCTCAAACAAAAGTCTCAATAATAAAATGTAGATTCCTTTATTCAGTAATTTTGAATGCCAGCTGGGTTCTTGATGTTATGTAGATTTTTTTGCTGCTCTCAGAGACTTTATGTTGTAATTAGGAATTCAGAAACTGGAGTAGTGTCACTGTGTTAATTTCTACTGTGACAGAGGATGAAAAGATACAGCTAAAGCAGCTTGCTCTGAACTGAAGGAATGGGTACATCAGAACCGAGTGTGTGTGTGTGTGTGCGCGTGCGTGCGTGCGTGGTGTGTGTGTGTGTGTGTGTGTGCGTGCGTGCGTGGTGTGTGTGTGTGCCCACACGTGTGAGTGCATTTGTGTCTGATAGTAGGGATATGTCCCTCCTTCAAAACTGATATTCACAGCCTTTATCTAGAAATGGAATAGGGTGGAAGGATTAACTATTGCCCACTAAAATGCAGTAGAAATGACAGGGCTCCTTCAAGGAGCAAAGTCTTCATGTGTCACAGTTCCTACTGAAGGCTCTTATGTGCTCATGAGGGAGGACCGCACACGCAGAGGCTGTAAAGCAATAACTCAGAGTAGGGAATGCTGAGATGGGTGACAGAAGGGTGGAGGGCAGGGTGGGGAAGTCAGGAAATTGTAGGTCACAGTAGAACAGAGGTCATCAGCACACACTGTCTATAAAGAGCCGTATCATAAATGTCTTCAGCTTTATGAGCCATACAGCAATGTTGTAGCTTTATGGCATGAAGCTGATACAGCTCTGTCCAAATCACGCTATTGATGAGAACAGTGAGTAGGTGATGAGCTGTAGTCTGCTTACTCAGGAGGACCCAGACTTCCTTTTGTCATTTGCTTACCTGCTTGCTCTCTTAGCTTATTCCATCTCCTACTAAAGGGTCTCTGTGTCCATAGCGTACATCAAATAATGGTGGGCGAGTGGAGCTGGAATTGACCACTGCCCCAGAGGAGAACTCTTGGGGCCCAGCTTTATTAGTTTTGTTTTTTTTTTTTTTTAATGTCAGAATTCAGTGTAAGTATAAGCTAACCTCAGAGACCCAGTAAACTACCATAGCACATTACTGTTCAGTTTCTGCTTAGATCACTTTGGATTACTTAGTTTTTATATAAGTATGCATTTTTAAATACTGAAAGACTATCGTGGCAGTGAATACTTACTGAATAAAAGATTCTGTTCATTTTTGAGGCAGTTGCTAGGTAGCTGTTGATAAAGGAGATGCATCAAGAGGTATCATTAGATACAGGCTGAAAGTTTACTCAGGCGTCTCTGCCTTCATATGTTGGACAAGTATGTTGGAGAGTAACACATCAAAGAGTAAGAGATTTTTTTGTGTTACAGCTTGATTGAAGCTTAATGACCTGTTATTATATTTGTCTGATATTTCACTGAGAGGTATGTCAGTTAACAGCATAGGGACAATGTCCATTTCACCTTCATCCCCGCCAGCTGTTGTGTAACTGTGATATAACAGACAATAGCTGGTCAGTTCCCCTTGTATTTAAGAGCAGTGAGGCGGACACACTAGAGAGTTTATTGCTCATGACAATGCATGATCATAAGAAAGGTATTTCTAGTCATCATCTAAATGAAATAGTTGGCAGTCTTGACATTCCACTTGGAATAGATGCTGTGTTCTTTGTGGAATGCATCTTGACCTCTTTACCAGTTCTAGAGTCTGAACATGACACCAGCATATTGGATAGGCCAGCTAGGGCTTCTCTTCACCGTTCCTGTGCAGCTGTGATGGGCTTGCCCTTAATTCTCTTGCTCATTTTCTTTAACATCTTACTTGTCACCTTTAGGATAAAATTCATACTTTCTTGAATATCATCACAGTCAACAGTGCTGTAAGTTTTCCATCTTGGTCAAGCTAAATATCCATTTAGTTTGTTGAAACAGATGGCTGTGAATTGTGTGCCTGTAAGTCAGTATTAAACCCTTTACAGTAAAGGTGACGATCTCTTCCAAGAGTGTGTGTTTCCCTCTCTAATTGGCAATACTTTTTTCATTGTTTCAACTTTGTGTGTGTGTGTGTGTGTGTGTGTGTGTGTGTGTGTGTGTGTGTAGGGAGGGAGAGAGAGAGAGAGAGAGAGAGAGAGAGAGAGGAACAAGAAAGAGAAAACAGATACAGACAGAAACAGACAGACACCAGGACAAACATGGAGGACAGAGGACAATTTTTGGGAGTCTGTTCTCTCCTTCCATCATGGCTTCTGGGGCTTAAACTTTGGTCTTCAGACTTTCATAGCCAGTGTTTTGCCTGCTGAGGCATCTTGTCTACTGTGTGTCACATACTGTATTCATCCTAATACTGGGGCTTCTAGTTAAGGTACTTTGACGTTTTAATCTGATTAGATTTAATAATGAGAACATCACTCGCTGGTATTCTACAAGTATTGATTGTTCTGAACTTAGCTAGGTAGTAAATGAAACAATTTAAAGATACTAAGCATCACTCAGAAGCTTTATGTGCTTTATGTTGTTTTGAAGGCTATATAATAGGAATGCAAAGTCTTTGAGAATCTTACTTCTTTATTTCAGGAATCTGTTATTTTAAGAATCTTATAGTAGAATCTTTCTTACGTAAAAGAATTTAAGTTGCTGTTCCTGGGATTGAACCCAGGGCCTCAGGCATGACAAGCATGGGCTCTTCCATTGAGTACTATTCTCAACTCAATATCAAGGAACCTGGAACATTGGCCATTTTCAAAAGATTGTTGTTTTAAAAGCAACTTACAAAACAGTAGTAAAAGAAAGGAATTCAGAAGGACATGACTGTTTCTCATAGGTACTCGTGGCTGATAGTCTTTAGATTAGACTTCTAACATCAGCTTTGTTTATCTTCACTAGGTTGTTCTATTTGCATTTTTATCTTCCTTTATTAGTGCATTAAGTGCAGATGTTAACTTTAAAGAATTTCATGTAAAATACAACATTGAAGCAATATGGTTTTGTTTCTAGTGGGATCATGAAACCTGGCCTCAATGCCATATTGGGACCCACAGGCGGAGGCAAGTCTTCGTGAGTATAACATACCTATAAATAAGCCTTTTCTGTTTATTAACCATCCCATTTATGTGTACAGTCATTGGCTGATTATTTGCAGTGTCTGTCTGATCTGGTCTTAGGTGCTGTGGGTAACGTGGGGTTGAACTATGTCATGATTTTGTGGTAAGGGCCAGAAATATTCATTAGGTCAGCTTTAGTAATAGCACATGATGACATGGTTGGGATAGAGTGGTAGACCATATTGTGTATTAGTGAGGAGGTAAAAGAATGAAGTAATATTGAAAGTGAAGATGTGTAGGGAAAGTATGATTGAAGTCGTGAATACTAGTTAAACCACATGTTGTCCATGTTGTGATCTCCAAGTCCATTGGCCAAGAGGGTCATTTTGGGGAGGTCCTGCTACTTAAATCAATGTTTTCTTGCTTTTATAGTTTGGGATTGGTGGTAGCACATAATGAAAAAGAAGCCGAGAATTTAAAACATGGAAACCTGGTTTTTGTTTTATTTTCCTTGTTTGATTTTCGAGGCAGTGTATCAACTATGTAGCTCTGGCTAGCCTGGAACTCACTATGTGGACTGGGTTATCCTTAAACTCACAACAGATCCTCTTGCCTCTGTCCCCTGAGTGCTGGGATGAAAGGTGTGTGACACCATGCTCAGCCTATAAATTTGTTTTATATAAATGTATCGACTGGTTAAATTTGAACATTAGCAGAAGTTGCATTTCGAGCAGCTAAGCAGTATGGCCTTATGTAGAAGGAAAGACTATCCTCATAGTGTAACATACATGTCCTTCTCAGGTTATTAGATGTCTTAGCGGCAAGGAAGGATCCACGAGGATTATCTGGAGATGTTCTGATAAACGGCGCACCTCAACCTGCCAATTTCAAATGTACTTCAGGCTATGTGGTTCAAGTGAGTATAAGTGGATCGGGGCACTATATGTGAAAGTGCATTTGCTGATAGTGTAGTTTGCTGCCAATTGAGTGGAAAACACGATCAAGGACCAACATATTGGCACCAGACTTTTATAATCTTCCTTTACATGGGGGATGGTGTTAAAGGGAAAGACAGAGATGACCTGGAATGTGACCCTTATGGGGCAGTGATATCAGTTCTGGCTGCTATGTAATTTCTACAAAATAAATAAAGTTTACCCTTCCTTCACCTTCTTTCTTCCCATTATAGATGTCTGTCTGCCAAACCCTTCTGCCAGGCAGCCTTAAGATGTCTAGTAACAGTCATTATATTACATGTGTTCTGTTGGGTGTACAGCCAGGCAATGCAAATGATAACACTGTAGGTGTTTGTATAATCAGGTCCTGCAGCCTAAGAGAATGTGCAGGCCACCAGTAGCCAGAGTTTTACCCTGGATGCATTCTGTGTGTGGATCGAACTACATGTACTCAAATGATGTCCTTAGAAAAGACTCACTTATCTCACTAAAATATCCCCTTCTCTTAAGGATGATGTCGTGATGGGCACCCTGACAGTGAGAGAAAACTTACAGTTCTCAGCAGCCCTACGGCTTCCAACAACTATGAAGAATCATGAAAAAAATGAACGGATTAACATGGTCATTAAAGAGTTGGGGCTGGAGAAAGTAGCAGATTCCAAGGTATGAAAACCCCTCATAGTATCATAGCTAGAAAATAGTTTTGCGCAGGCAATTTAACCTTAACTTCACGTTTCCTACAATGTCTGCAGCCCAAAGTAACTGCTTTCTGCATGATGTGAAATAATTGTTTTTGTTTTTTTCTTCTTATTTATTTATTATGTATACAATATTCTGTCTGCATGTATGTCTGCAGGCCAGAAGAGGGCACCAGACCTCATTACAGATGGTTGTGAGCCACCATGTGGTTGCTGGAAATTGAACTCAGAACCTTTGGAAGAGCAGGTAGTGCTCTTAACCACTGAGCCATCTCCCCAGCCCCGCAATAATTGTTTTTGTAAGGTAACTTAGAAATTAAGATGGGGGAAAAAAAAACCCTAATCATGGCTGATTCCTGGAAATGGGAGAAGTGTCCCTCATAGGACTGTTTCTGTATGCCCTTCCACCAGCCCCATCCTTCAAGTCACAGCTTGCTGTGTATCGGCTCTAACTGCTCTGCTCCTTCTTCAGGAATAGCTGTGAAACAAGAAAGACAAGAATCCAAAGGTCCTTGCTCTGCATGCGTCATTTTGCTGCAATTTGGCTTCTAAAATTGTAGTTGGTCACATTAGGATTTACTTAGCAATTTGTCCAATGTTCAAGTTACTTTTCTTTTTTTTTTTAAGTTACTTTTCTGTAGTTTGTCTCTTGACAGTTTTATTTCTCCTCCTTTCCTTCCCACTCTCCTTTTTTTCCTTATCTACTGTCAGTATTTGTTTCCAGACTCCCACATGCTAGGCTTTTTTTTTTTTTTGTAAACTTTAGAGAGTTAAAAAAAACAAATAGAAATACTGCTTCTCCTTTTGAGAGTTATACAGGATCAGGAAGGGGAATTAGACAAAGACAGTGGATGAACTTTACAAATGATCAACCCATATAGTTTTGCTGAGCATTTGAGCATTGCATGAAAATAGAATGGCTGTAGCTTAACCCTCTCCTGCCCATCCTTATTTTCCTCTGTAGAGGCAATGGATAATGGTGATTGCATGGAACTGTTGCTTCTCTTGGTGCTTGCTAGCAGTCTTTCCTGTGCTGTGTATTTTGTTGGGAAGAATAACCTTGTGATCACATCATTTGGCTTTATTTCTGAATTACTGTGTTTGCTTTGCTATGGCACTGTTTGCTTGCTTGATTTTATCTTCCTAGGATACTTTTCCTTGACTCTGTTAAGTTTTTCTTCTTTTCGTATGTCCTGGGGCCTCATTCCTGCTCGGCAAGTGCTGCATAACTGGACTATCCCTCCATCATGTTTTTTACCTTTAAGCAGTCTCTCCTAGAAGTTACTTGTTTGGATATCCAGAAGAAATATAGAGAGATACTTATTACTGACTTTTTAGAATTAATATCTCTAAGTTATTAAAATATTTTATTTTGTAAAACAGTAAGTGTAACACAAAAAATAGTCTGTTTACTATAATGTTAAGGTTGTTAGGTAAAATAATGATATAATTGGCGATACTTATTTGTGTAGATTTCTCAGTTGCTAACATCTCAGGCTGTGCTCTCTCCAGCTGTTTCTTACTGGAGGACATAAAAGAAATCTTCATAGTTCCTCACCCTCAGTACATGCCGTGCTCCTGTAAAAACCAGATGTGATACAAGGCATGCAGCCCAGTGGTAGAACATGTGCTTAGCACGTGCAAGACCCTTGATTCCATACCATTATCAGCTAGCAAAATGAAAGAAAATCGTATTGTATTTATTCTCTTTTGTCAAATTGTCTTCAAAAGTTTCTTGTAATTCAGTTTTTATTAGGACCCGGTTAAGGTTCATGAATAATAACACTGGGTTATGGCTCCCTGGATTTGTGTGATTCCAGAACCATTTACTGCTTTCTGCGTCCCTTCTCCCAGCCCTTCCTACTGCAGTCCCCACATCATGACAGTGGTGGTTGAAAAGGTTGGCCAGTTTTTCTGTGAAATACCCCACTTTCTGGGTTATTTCAGATAAGGACGAGTCAGAAATTCTGCAGTGAATTAGTGTGTAGGTACACAGCATCAAATCGGAGCCCGAAAAGCTCTTAAAATGGTGGTGTAGAATGTGAGCTTTTCTCTTCCCGCTCGACTACATCTGCGTAGGGACCATGGGGGTGGGGGGAGCGCGAGGGCCAGGTGCTGGGTGGTGAATTATTGTCAGCATGCTCCCTTTCCCTCTTTCTTGCCTATTTAAGACTAAAATTTTACTGTATCTTCTAGTGTTCTCATTCATTGGTGAAGCTGGAGGCAGTTCAGAGACAATTGGGGCTGCACAGGTCTGTCTGCCAGATGCTGGTGATGGTGTTCACTCTCGTTGATAAAGATGACACTTGCTTTAGGTTGGAACCCAGTTTATCCGCGGTGTCTCTGGAGGAGAAAGGAAGCGGACGAGCATAGGAATGGAGCTGATCACCGACCCTTCCATTCTCTTCCTGGATGAGCCCACAACTGGTTTGGACTCAAGCACAGCAAATGCTGTCCTCTTGCTCCTGAAGAGGTAAATGCTACAAGAGCACTGATCTTTCATTTTTTCCTATCTGGTCACTCATATGTGACTGGTGGTGTTCTTTGTGTAGGAGATTCAGACGTAAACGGAATCTCTCCCTACTTCGTTAAGGGAAAGAAGTGATAAGAAAGATTAAATAAGAGGCAGAAATGATGGCTGTGGTGGGCCTGGGTCGCTGTTTTAAAGAGCAGGAAGGTCAAGGAGGATCTAGCGCGTGGACTTAGGACCTGGGAGGAGGCATGAGAGACCTGGCTGTCTCTAGCCACAGAATCTGGCTGGAGGGAACAGCCAGTGGCCCCAAGGCAGAAGATGCCTGATGATATGTCTGGAACATTAAATAGACATGTGAACCTAGTTACCGTGGGACGGTACATATTAGCTATTGTACAGTTAAAACGAAGCACCACAGACTGGTGGCTTAAGAAGAGAAGCCAGTCTTTTCCAAGCGCTACTGTGCAAACTTACCACCTGCCCTTTGGTAAACAGTGATGATTCCGTAGGTCTGAAGTGGAGTCCTGGAGTCTTCACCGGGGACTCCCAGGGGACATGCTCATTCTGCTATCCCTAGTCCTCAGACCCACGCTGAGGTTCAGGCCTCACACAGCTCTGTTCCTCCGGGTAGCTCCTGTTGCCTTCTGGTTCTTACAGTTCCTGAGTGAATGTGTCATGAGTTTATTTGCTTCAGTCTCTCTTCCCCCTTTTGATTTTTAAATTTCATTGTACATGTTCATTGTACCGTGGCACCATGTTGCATAGGGGCATTTTCACACAAATACATGTTGTAAGTTGAGCACACCCATCCATATGTGCTCCTGTTCCCTTCTGTCCCCTAGACAGTTTCACTTCTGCTTTTATATAAGTACATGCATGATTTTATGTGTCTATAAAATTTAAGAACCCCAGATGAGAAAAGACAGGATATTTGTCTTTATGAGACTGGTTTAATTTAATGTGATTTTCTCTGGTTACATCTGCTTTCCTGCAAATTCCATATCTTATATTTCCTTGTCTCCCCATTTCTGTCTTTACTTAGATTCTTCATCTAATACTATCCACACATACCTTCTTATGTTATACTCTCTTGAGTGTGTTCTTCTACCTTCTGTACCTTTCTCCCATAGGTCACTCCTGGGGAGCCCTTGATATTCATTCTACTTGATAAACTTCAGACCGAGCTTCACATTTTATATTTGGTATATACAAAACCCCTAGATGCATCTGTTGTTTTTTTTGGATTTTTGTTTTTAAAGCCCTGGCTGACTTAGAATTCACTCTGTAGACCAGAAAAGAAAGACTAGCCTGAAATTCAGGGATCTGTTTACTTCTGCCTCCTAAGTGCTGGCACAAACTATCCAGCTCTGGCTTGTTTAGTATGCCATATACCTTTGGGCACACTGTTTTCAGATAGTTGGTACTTAAAAATATGTAAGTCAAATTATTTCTCAGAAATCATTTCCCAAGAACAGTTTTAAGTGGTGATTTGGCTTTAAACAGTGATTTTTCCTGTCATAAGCAATAACTCCTCTGAATAGGTAACTAGCATTGTTTCTGCCTGAGATCAAATCTTACCCTTGCTTCTTATTTATTCTAACAGTGTGGCCAGTTGCTTGAGCTTTAAGCCTACTCAGTAAATGAAGGAAAACAATAGCATTGGAAGTGCTTATAACAATATTATAGCGAGCCGGGCAGTGGTGGTGCGCGCCTTTAATCCCAGCACTTGGGAGGCAGAGGCAGGCAGATCTCTGTGAGTTCGAGACCAACCTGGTCTACAAGAGCTAGTTCTAGCACAGGCTCCAAAACCACAGAGAAACCCTGTCTCGAAAAACAAAAAACAAAAAACAAACAAACAAAAAAAAGGCCTGTACTAAACAATATTATAGCAATTGAAAATGAGATTGCCTGTAAAGCATTAGCAACTATGCGGTAAGCACTCACACATGCTTCTTTACTACCAGAGCAAAAGAATGGAAACCCACTTATAACAAGCCAGAAGCTAAGGGCCTTTCAGTTGGTTTTCTTTCCTGTACTCTTCATATAATAAGGGTAAAGGTGCACCAGCTCTTTCCCTGACTGTGCTCTAGTAGATACATTGTAGTACTCAGCTCTTTCCCTGACTACACTCTGGTAGATACATTGTAGTACTCAGCTCTTTCCCTGACTACTCTCTGGTAGATACATTGTAGTACTCAGCTCTTTCCCTGACTGTGCTCTGGTAGATACATTGTAGTACTCAGCTCTTTCCCTGACTACTCTCTGGTAGATACATTGTAGTACTCAGCTCTTTCCCTGACTACACTCTGGTAGATACATTGTAGTACTCAGCTCTTTCCCTGACTGTGCTCTGGTAGATACATTGTAGTACTCAGCTCTTTCCCTGACTACACTCTGGTAGATATGTCTAACTTTGTCAATGTCGCATATGCTCCCACACTCACATAGCGTATTCCAAGGGTGCATGCTGTCATCACAGGACTGGCTCTTTGTCCTCTTACTTTATCGTGGTCCCTTACAGCAGCCCTCCTCTTAGGCACTCTGACCTGCTGCCCCTTCTGTATTGCTTGTTGCCAGCTCCAAAGCGTTTAGAGCAGTCTGTGCCCCAAGCCCTTCGACAGCTCATAGGGTAACTTGAGCGGGAATGGTGGGGTGAGGCTGTAGGAGTTGACAGACTTCCTGGTAGGCAGACCGAGGAAGAGGGGCTGTGAATAGATTATAAAGATAGAGAGTTCTGAGATTGCCCAGCTTCTTCCTCACAGTCCTGACCTGAGACAAAAGACTGGCAGCTTACAAAGGCCTGCTAGGTTTTTATTCTTTCCAGTACCCCCTCATCCTTGCCTGTGGACCACTCTGACAAGTTCAAGACCAAACCAGGATGTGTTTACCCTGAACTTGTGGACCTATTAGCTTCCCTGATTCTATTCAAACTGACCAACCCTAAACGGCCCCTTCAGAGGTTCTTTAAAATTCCCCATTATCAATGAGAGGCCAGGGTTTGGTGTCTGTGTCCCTAAGCAGGGGTCCTTCTTTCTGTGTACCCTGCCATATGTCTGTATGTTCTTCACCTTAATAAAAAGCCTTCCTTTGCTGTGTGTGCGTGTGAGCATGTGTGTGCATTCATGTGTGTGCGTGCGCACGTTCTCCCAGAGATTCTGGTCTGTGAAAACTGTCTTCGTGACTGTATCTGTCAAGAAACATTCTAGTGAATTTTGTTCTGCCACAGCTCCTTTCTTAAGAAATTGTGGCTGGCTAGTAGCTTGAGGTATTGGTGGGAGCTGCCGAGTGGCACGAGCAGCTATTACCAGAGCCGGAGCTGCCGGTTAAACCTGATTAAGATGACGACCTCCCCAAAGCACCGAGACTTTGTGGCAGAGCCCATGGGGGAAAAGCCAGTGGGGAGCCTGGCCAGGATTGGTGAAGTCCTGGGCAAGAAGCTGGAGGAAAGGGGCTTTGATAAGGCTTATGTGGTTCTTGGCCAGTTCCTGGTGCTATAGAAAGATGAAGACCTCTTTCCAGAATGGCTGAAAGACATGTGTGGTGCCAATGCCAAGCAGTCCCGGGACTGCTTTGGGTGCCTTCGAGAATGGTGTGATGCCTTCTGGTAGTGCACTCTGGGGACTCCTCAACTGCCCAGCCACAAAATCTAGTCTCCAGAGTCAGCAGCTGGGTGGGGCTCCTCCCTGACCCCATGAAGGAAGACATTGCTGTTGTCACAGTCACCTCCTGTGTACTCCGGGGTCTTTTGGGAGTTCTCTTCCCCACAGCCTTTCATCTGTTTTGGAATTCTTGCCCTTGCATCCCTTGCCCCTCCTCCCCCTGCAGGTCCGTGGCAACAGCTACCAGCTTTCCTGAATGGATTTCTGGCCCCTTTCTCCCTCCTTTCACCATCTGTTGGATGCCCTTTGCCCTTTGGCTCCTTTTTTTTTAGTCACTCTCCTTATAAACATTTCTAGACTAATAAAGTCAGTGGCCTTCCTGGTTGGTCTTCTGTGTTGGAAAGCAGGTGGACTGGGATTGTGTCTTCCCCAGGGTTGAACACATCTACCTCACTTCTTATTAGTGTAGACCGAAACTGGTGGCTTCCCTTTCCCCTCCTAAGAGGGAGTCACCCTAGCCATGTGGGCCTTGGGCAGGTGCCCTAGGTGTCCCAATTCCTAAATAATGTGGGAAAGACTGTGGGTTGATTTCTTCCTGGGAGCCAGGTAGGCTGCAGGCTTCCAGATGTCAACAGTTGGTCAAGCAGCACCTGGTGGAAAAGTCAGTAGGAGTCAAAGTTACCAGGAAGAGGGTGGATAGGATGTAGGTAAGAGGTCACCTGCCAGTCATCCTGTCACCTGCTCTCTACCTCTGGGAAGAACGGGTGGGACGCTTGCTGTTTGTCCAGCTACCATAGCAATGAAATAATTAAACGTGAAAACTAAATTCCAGTCCCGCTGTTGTCAAGCTCATGTGAACACCTGAAACTGACGTCTTTGTAAGCATTTTTAGATTATTCGATTTTGGAGAGGTGAAGAGATTTGGGGCTCAGAAAAGCAAGTTTGCCCATGAACTTGCTGCAAGAAAATAGCCACTTGAACTCAGATTGTAATTTGGTAGACTGTTCTATGTCATGTAACCAATGATCTCTGAGGCTCAGCTTCCTCATATGGGTGAGGGCTGTGGGGACCAGGTACAATTCTGCTTACACTCCCTCCTGCTTGGTGTTCATTCCACCAACAGAAAGCATCACTGATGGTTTGGGGGGCCTTGGTCCTGCCTCAGAGTGAAGTGTCAGGCTTTGTTGACTTCCCATGGGAAGCCTTACCCTTTCTGAGGAGTGCAGGGCAGGGTGGAGAGGGAGTGGGAACAGGGATAACTGTAAAATGAGAAAAATTGTATTTAAAAAATAATTAATAAAAAAAGAAAAAAGTGTAAAAAAAATAAAGAAAAAAAGAAATTGTGGCTGGATTTGTGTCTTGGGTTTTTGTTTGTTTATTTATAATGATTAAGTCTAAGGCGCCTCCCATGCTAAGCACTTTATTCACAGCTGGTCTCCAAGACTGCTGTACACCCAGCTGCTCTAGCTTTTAACAAAAGCATCAAGTCTCATTTCCCTAGGTATCAGGCAGATATCTTGAGATGAGCTGATGCTGTATGTGTGTATGAGAAAATCAAGTTGAAATTGGGACAGATGTTCAAAGAGCAGGAATAAAGTATTTTTTAACAATAAATGTAAGGATGAGAATCTTAATGACTTGTTATTTTCTTCCTATAATGTAGGATGTCAAAACACGGTCGAACAATCATCTTCTCCATTCATCAGCCTCGGTATTCCATCTTTAAGTTGTTCGACAGCCTCACCTTATTGGCCTCAGGGAAACTCATGTTCCATGGGCCTGCGCAGGCGGCTTTGGAGTACTTTGCCTCAGCAGGTATGGTTGGTTGTTTCCCATGTGGTGGGTCCTTCCCTCCCATGTGGCTAGAGCAGACGGTCCACAGGACTGCTGTGTAGTCTCCATGCTGGCCTTCCTCTCTCCTAACATGCTTGCTCAGGTCTGTGTCTCTTCATTGTGCTGTTTGAACATCTGTGGCATTTGTGTCTAAGTGTCTCTCTCTAATGGGCCCAGGCTGCTTCTGTTCCCCAGTCATGGTGGCCTTGCCCTGGAAGTGCAGAGTCACAGTTAGCACTTGGGTCAGTTGAACAGTTTTGGGAAGGACGTAGGATTGTTGTCTCCTTGACTACAGGGCAGGTCCCAGCTTTTCTAGTCACCAGGCAGGTGATCTTGGTGGGCTTCCCAGAGGACTCATGGAAGGATACTTAACTTTCTGGTGGCATTAGGTTGCCAGTTTAGTCTGTGAGTGGGTCTGAGTGACTAGTCTCAACTCTCACTTTGATGAGCCTGCATTTTTGGCTCTTCTGAGTTGCTTTCTTCTATTGCAGATTAAATTGCATGATTTCTTTGTATTTTTAGGAGCGTCTGCATTATAAATGTGCCCACGTGTAGGGCTGGTGCCCTGAGAGGTCAGAATAGAGCACCTGACCCCTTAGTACTAGGATCACAGAAGGTTCTGAGCTACCATGGAGGAGTTCTAGGAGCCAAACCTGGGTCCTCTACAAGAACAAGTGCTCTTAACTGCTGAGCCATCTCTTCAACCCTGTGATTTCATTTTAAATGCAGTGGTTTTCATTTTTATAGATGATTATAGATGATTCTTCATGACCTCAAATAAAATTATAAATATTTGTTATCCATCATCCTTAATTTTTAAAAACTTAATCTGTCATTTAAAATAAGTGAGCATATCTTGGTTAAGAGCCCTTGCTTCTCTTCCAGGAGACCTTGGTTTGATTCCCAGCACTCACGGGATAACTCTTAACTGTCTGTAATTCTAATCCCCAGAGATCCTGTCTTCTGTCTCTACATGTAGACACCAGACCCACATGGAAAACATCCATACACATTAAGAAAAAAAGATTTTTGAAGAAAAAATAGAATAATTGAGCCCACACGAGTGGAACGTTCAGTGGCTGTTGTTCTGAGAGGACTGTGAAGTTGAGGTCAGAGGTTAAGGTGTGCTGTACTCTCCATGTTCTCTGAGAATGCGGACCAGAGCTTGCATTCCCTTTGGCACTGTGGCAGTATGACAGATGAGAATTGCAGCCTCTCCACTCAGCTAAAGAAGCGATAATGGTGCCGACCTGATGTCAGAGAACACAAAGACTGCTAATGTTTTCCTTTCCTGATCTGGATTTAGATCTTGGAGGGAAGAGTAGCAACACCAGATCGTATCAGTAGCCCTTTGCAGGCCGTAGTTTATGGTGAACACCAACGTAAGATGCTCTCGAGTGTCCAGAATTCCTTCTGAGTTATTGAAATATTTATTAAGAGAAATGGTGTATTGGTGAAGGGAAAGTGAGAAGAGGGAGAACTTGTTAGGTTCTGCCTTCCCAAGCCTCCACTCCCTCACCCTCTAAGGTTCTAAGACCATCATGTTTGTGTCCTTGCATTGCCTTCTCTTCTAGGTTACCAGTGTGAGCCGTACAATAACCCTGCCGATTTCTTCCTGGATGTCATCAATGGAGATTCTTCTGCTGTAGTGTTAAATAGAGAGGAAGAACCCCAGAGAGGTGTGTGACTCGCGTAGAGTTTGCATTGGTGTCTGTTGCTTTGATGACCCATAGGAGTGTGGCTCACGAATACGTGCTCTCATAGGCCAGGCAGGACTACATAGTGAGATCCTGCCTCAAAACAAAGCAAAAAGATGCTTTTGAAATTCATGTTAATTCAGCGTGAAAGTTGTCAGTAGGCAGACTGTTGTTTGTAAGTGCTTGGCTGTTTATCTAATTTGTAAATGAGCGTTTTCCTGAAAGGCTCAGTTGTGAGGCAACTTTCCACTTTAAAATGGTTATTTTTATAGTGTTAGTCAGGGTTCTCTAGAGGAATAGAACTGATAGATTCTATCATATTGGATATGTATATATGTGTGCATGAATGAGCGTGGTTTACAGGCTGTGGTCCAGCTAGTTAAAAATGGCCGTCTACCAACAGAAAGTCCAAGAGTCCAGTAGTTGTTCAGTCCGTGAGGCTAGATATCTCACCTGGTATGTTGGAATCTTGAAGAAGTAGTCTCAAACGCCAGTGATGGGATGCCTCAGCAGCAGGATATATGAACCCACCAGTAAGACTGAGGACAAGGGGGAAGAATCAAGAGCTTCCTTTTTCCATGTCTTTTATATATGCTGCCACCACGAGTTATAGCCCAGATTTAAGATGAGTTTTCCCATCTTAAAAGGTCCAGATTTAGGGTTGGTCTTCCCACCTCAAGTTAGTCAACCCATAAAAATCACTCAGGTGTATCTAGCCATTTGGATTTTAACTAATTCCAGATGTAGTCAACTTGACAACTAAGAATAGCCATCACAAGTGTTTTATAAACGGACTGGATAGGGTGTCTCAGTGCTTTTAATCCCAGCTTGTCATCACTTGAGATGCAGAGAGGCAGAGCCAGGGAGATACCTGTGAGTTCAAGGCTAGCCTGGTCTACATAGCAAGTTTCAGGCCAGCCAGGACTATATAATGATATCCTATTTCAAAATAAACAAACAAACATACAAACAAACCCCAAGAAATGGCAAGTTTTGCATTTGAGTATAGTAAAAGACAAAAAAATTAACTCTGTACAGTAGTATAATGTCTATTTGAATAATTAGGGTCTAAACTGATAGAAAAAGTCAGTGATTTTCTCTATCATAAGATGTGGTCATACACAGATAAATTAGCTGTTTCTGTGATATGTAAATCAATAACAGAGTAACTTTATTATTTTGAGAGTATTTTTCTGTGCAGCCCTCGCTGGCCTTGAACTCATTATGTTATGTAGACCAGACTGTCCCCAGATTCAGAGATCCATTTGCCTCTGCGTGCTGAATGCTGGGATTAAAGGTACACGCCACCGCGTCTGTCCCCACTCCAGAGGTAGTGGGATCTGGGAGGATGGAGAGGATAAATGAGGTGAACTAAAGAGTAAAGCTCTGATGTGTTCAAGCTGTACACAATCACAAGGACAAACCTCACATGGCAAAAAAAAAAAGCAAAAACTGTGTGACATTAATTGAATAATAGCAGGAAGCCATAATGAGTGATCTTAAGTAAACTCACTCCTATCTGCTCCACCTAGGAGGAGCACACATTCCAAGAAGAATTTCACGTTTTGAAGAAACTGAGGTCACAAGGTGTCCAAGGTGTCTTAGTTAGGCTTTTATTGCTGTGAGGGGACACCACAACCACAGCAACTCTTATTTAAAAAAGCATTTAATTGGCGCTGACCTTAATTTTGTTGGTTCAGAGGTTTAGTCCATTGTCATCATGGTGACAGGCAGACACGATGCTGTAGGGTAGCTGAGTTCTACATCTGGATCCTCGAGGAGCAGGAAGAGGCAGACCTCAGAGCCCACCCCCAGTGACACACTTTCTCCAATAAAAACACACATGTTCCAGCAAGAACACACCTCCTAATAGTGCCAGTTCTTATGAGCCCTTGGGACCATTTTCATTCAAACACAAGACTAGTTTTCTTGGAGTGTTCTCTCAAGCACTTAGAATTCTCTTTACATGACTCCATTCCTAGACCATGTTCTGACATATGCCCAGCCAATATTTTATTTATATATATATATAGATACACACCCACGCACACACACATATATATCACATGCAGTATTATATACATATATACACAATTCTAGAATTAAGGAATCATAGAAGTATGGAACCGTAGAAAAATGAGTTAAATTAGTTGTTATGTGTTAATATTTCACTTCTTTATCCACATTTATCCAAAGAAAACAAAACTGAAGAGCCCTCCAAGAGAGAGAAGCCAATCATAGAAAACTTAGCTGAGTTTTATGCCAACTCCTCCATCTACAGAGAAACAAAAGCTGAATTAGATCGACTTCCAAGGAATCAAAAAAAGAAAGGAATATTAGCCTTCAAAGAGACGACGTATACTACCTCCTTCTGTCATCAACTCAGATGGATTGCCAAGCGTTCATTCAAAAACTTGCTGGGGAACCCTCAGGCCTCCGTAGCTCAGGTAACCTGACAGATGCGGCTGTGCTATGAAGTACTCACAAGGACAAACTCGGCTCCTGGTCTTCTTGCCCTGCTACTATTATTTATTTTCTAGTTTCCTGTCATTTCCACTGTATCTTTATTAACAGATACTGAAGTTTCACTTTCAAATTGCATAAACAACACTCTTTGTGGTTCTCTCCCCTAAGTAGTAAAATCTGATAAAAGTTATTCTTAGTTCTTGTCTTACAAAAATGCTCATTTGTCCTGGTTTGTCTTTGGTGTCATACCTTACTGACTTTTGCATAGGATATTTTTGGTAGTCTTATGTTTTTGATTTTCATGAGCATTGAGTTGATACAGTGTGTCATGGTGTTGTCATGATACATCTTTTCTTCTATTTGTAATAGTTGAACTTTGGTTTGAACCGGTTAGTTATTTACACGATTTAGACTTAGCATATAACCAGAGGTGACTGTATTTGGAAGATCTCAGAACGAGTGTGGTGTCTGTATAAAAATATTTCATCTGTTTAGTGTACTAACATTTTTCTGATCAAAGCCATTTGGAAGAGACTATCAGCCTCTTGTAGAGCCGCTAATGGCTGGCTATGGTCTTGCATGTTTTATGCCTGTAATGACTGCACCACAAACATAATTCCGAACACACTTTCAAAAAATATTAAATATATTTTCATAAAGATATAATAACACTTTTAAAGAATTGTATTACATTTTTTGTTCAAAAATGCAGAGGTCAGATGCAGAAATCTTATAGATACGCTCCTTCATTCTATTATACAAGACTTGGCATAGCTGTTCCAAGTTTGCTTTTCTGTTTGCTGTGGTGAAACACTGGCCTAATGAAACAGTGGGAGGAAAGGTTACAGGTTAGAGTCCACTATGGAGGGCAGGAAGGCGGGAATTGAGGCAGAGAGCATGGAGGCCACTGCTTTCTGACTTGTCTCCCCTGACTTTCTTACATAGATGAGGCTCACCTGCCAAGGATGGCCATTTGCCATAGTGGGACGATCCCTCCTACATACGTTAGGAATAAAGAAAATGCTCGTGTCCAGACTGTCCACCAGCCACTCTAGTGGAGGCAGTTTTTCTATGGAAGTTCCATCTTCCCTGCTGTGTCAAGTTGACAACCCACACTAGCCACCATAAAAATAAAATATAAAATAAATATAAAAGTAAAAATTTGCCAGGGTAATAGGCTTTCCCCGTGCTAAATTTCTACCTTAATAGCAAAGAGACTTGTAATTCTCTCGTGAATATGGTATTTCCAGGTCTTCAGAGCACATACTTCTCTTGCAGAGGACCTGCATTCATTCCCAGTCACCTCTAACTCGAGCTCCAATAGGAACTGACACCTCAGGCCTCCTTGGGCACATGCTCTCATGTGTACTAGTGTGCACGCATGCACACACTCATACACACATACACACACACACACACACACACACTCAATGCTTTAAGCTAGAAGAGTTGACTTTTTCATAAACACAAATATTATGTATTGGTGAAGCTATATAGACTATTAAACGTATGCGTATAACCAGTTTAGTTCCGTTCATGCTGTACTTCATGTTTTGATACTGTTAAAGTATTAAGAATTTTTTGAGCTTTGAAATTTCAATATATATATAAATGGATATTTCATTTTTAGATGAGCATTTCATACATTTTAAAAATTACCTGCTGATAATATATTAATAAATATAATCCTCCAAATAAATAACATTATATAATCTTTGCCCCTTGCTTCTTGAAGCATCCTTAAAAGACTTCTTCTCCAAAGTGTTGCTAGTGCGGTCTCCCTGGGGGCAGTCTGCGCAGATCGGTTAAGTGAGAGGAGTTGACTGTGAAGGTGCAGAGGAAGCATCTCGGGTGTTGTGGGGCAGAAGGCCCAGTGGGTGGATGGAGAAGTGGTGAGAGAGGAGACGATAATGAAAGCCTCTGAATGTCCCACAGAAAGAAGGGGTTTTTGTTTTGTTTTCTTTTTTGCTTTGTTTGTTTGTTGTGTTTTTTTGTCAGTGATGCTGCACAGACTGAGCTCACCCCTACTTCTACTTGGGGGTGTGTTCATTAATTTTTTTTTTGTCTTCCACATTAAAAGACAAGGCATCCTGTTCTCACTTGAACCTCTTGTATGAAACTTTGTCCATTGGCACAAAAGTTTAATTCAGTTCAGTTCAGAACTCTTAGTCACTTAGTCACTTTGGTTTGTCCTCAAAATAACCTCTTCAGGTTCCCTATGCACCATTCACAGATCCAGTGTCTGACCTGGGACTTCCCTGACTGCTGGAGCAGTGGAAGGAATCTTAGGGGCTGTTCTGTTGACTGACAGCAAATGCTTGGTTTTCAGTTTACTCTAGAAAGCAGTCTAATAATATATTCTATCCCATACGTTCCCAGGAACCCTATCATAACCAAGTGTACAAAGTGAGATTGGACTTTATATGTATATTTTAAAATAATAAATAATACGCAAGCATTTTAATCTCTAATGGGAACTCTTTTATCTTTCTTTTCCTTTTTGAAAAGCTAATTGTCACAATCATACTGGCACTGATTATTGGTGCGATTTACTTTGACCTGAAAAATGATTCCTCAGGAATCCAGAATAGGTAAGTAAATTTGGATTTTCCCCCATTCTGTAGGATAGAAATGAGTATGGACTTGTTCTAAGCAAAATAAGAGAGAAAAGTATAATTTACAAAAGTAGTACAGTAGTCTACTCCAGAGGCAGAGCAACAAAATTTGGATCTTGGTTTTGAAAAAATAGTGTTCTTTCTTTAAAGTGTTCTTTCTTTCTTATGAATATTGATTAAGGATTTAACCTTAATACAAGTTCATGGTAAACGTCACTGTATCATTGTAGGTCGAAATGAGCTGCTGAATTGAAAACTTCATGAGTTGCCTTTTTCTTTTTTTTTTTTTTTTGGTTTTTCGAGACAGGGTTTCTCTGTGGTTTTTTGGAGCCTGTCCTGGAACTAGCTCTGTAGACCAGGCTGGTCTCGAACTCACAGAGATCCGCCTGCCTCTGCCTCCCGAGTGCTGGGATTAAAGGCGTGCGCCACCACCGCCCGGCTATGAGTTGCCTTTTTTGATGTAACCATACAAAAGATTAAATATAACCAATCTTAAGTATGTGTAGTTCATTAAGAACATTCACACTGTTGTGACATTTGACAACCTCCAACTCCAGATGAGATTTTTTTTTCCTTAATGGAGCCACCTTATCTATTAAATTAAATCCATAAGTAATTCTTCAGTGCTGACCTCATCTCCCGGGAAGCACCATCCGACTTTGCATCTCTAATGTACCTCTTCTGGAAGATATATGATATCTTAAGTATTTGTCATTTGATGACCGACTTATTTCCCTTATATAATGTCTTAATGGTTCATCCATTTTGCAAGTTGGTCAGAATTTCCTTTGTAAGGCTGATTTAGTCGTGTGTGTGTATGTGCTCACTTTCTGTATTTATCCATTTGCCTGTGTCTGAACATTTGTGTTGCTTCGCCCTTTGGTTGTGTGAGTGAAGTTAGGGCTCTGCAGGCTTCTTTGGCACCCCAGTTTTCAGCTCTCTCAGGAACTGTACCAGTAGAATTGCTAAATTATGATAAGTTTTTAAAGAAATGGGAAGTTTGTCTCCCTGACAGCTTTGTCGTTTTTCCATTCGTGACTGTAGCACACAGGTGCTTCAATTTTTCCATACCATGAGTAGTTATTTACTTTCTGATAATGAAGGTCAATTTATATCTATTTTAGTCCTTTGTCTATTTTATTATTTGTTGTTGGGTTTTATGAATCCTTTATTTTTCTGTACTATTTTTCCTTATCAGATAGACGTTTTGCGAGTATTTTCTCTAATTCTGTAGGATGTTTTCTCTGTGTTGATAGTATCTGTTAGCGCATGCATGCTTTTGATTTTGGTATTGTTTGCTTTTGACTATTGCTTGTGAAACAGCTTCCCTGTATAGGTTATAATTTATTTGACTTGAAAGTTGAGTCCATGTGTATGTAAGATTCAGTTTATTTGAGCTCTTTGCTATGATAATGTGTAAATTCAGTCATAATTGTGTCCTTAATTTTTCTAAAGACTTGGGTGTGTTTGGAGGCTTTGATTGTATGTGTGTCTGTGCACCATAGTGTGTACCTGGTGCCTGAGAATGCCGGAAGAGGGTGTCACATTGCTTAAAACTGGAATTACAGATGTTTGTGAGCAGCAATGTAGGTGCTGGAAATCAAACTCAAGTTCTCTGGAGGAGCAGTTAGTGCTCTTAACTCCTGAGATATCTCTCCAGGACATCCTTGACAATTTTGTTTTCATAATAACTTAGGTTTGTTTTTTTTTGTCTTTGTTTTTTTTTTTTTTTTTTTTTTTTGAGATGGTTTTCTTACTGTGTTTCGAAGACTGGCTTGAATTCATCATCTGAAGTTATTGATCTTCTTGCCTCAACCTCCTAAGTAGCTGCTACTAAAAGTAGATGCTACTGAAATGAGCTTTACACTGAGGCATTTTAATTGCTGGTCGTGCGGGGAGTGCATATGCTCAGTAATAGCACCAACCTCAGAGTCACAACCGTGTCATGATTCACGCACTGAGAACCACACCTTGCTGTAGACTTTGAACTCAGGGTTTGGCATCCAGATGCCACTATGGGTGGATGGCATTTTTCCGATTTTGTTATTGAAAAATGTTGAAATCATTTTATGTCTGAGAAAGGCTGATTCTTTTGTAAAGAACCATAGAAAAGTCTATCATTCAGGTCAAGTGAATTTTCTTCTGTGTGGAGTCAGTGTTACTCTAGTGAGCTATTTTCAGCATTAGATCTTTGTTTGTTTGTTTTACCTTCCTTGAAGGTTTAGATAGCTAGTGATGGATGGTTTCTGTGGATGTTATTTCTTGAGCTAACCCAGCATATACGTAGGAACTAGAGGTTGTGTAGTATTGGGGGAAGTAGTTGAGGCTGAAGCAGTGACTCAGAGGTTAAGAGAACTAGTTGCACTTTAAGGGTCCTGAGTTCAGTTCCCAGTTTTAAGTAAATTTACAATTTTATGTTTGGCTATATCCTAGTTTCATTTTTTTTATTAATTTGATAAAATACCCTGACCAAAAAAGCAACTTAGAGAAGAGAGATTTATTTCAATTTGAGGTTAAAGTCCATTATTGTGGGGAACGTCAAGACAAGAACTTTTAAAGCATCATGTCTGCAAGTGCAGGGAGGGAATAAACACACAGGTCCTCACCTGCTTGCTCAGCTAGTATTCTCTTTCCGTAAACATGCCAGGGCCCAGTCAATGAAATGGTGCTGCCCACGTTCAGGGTGAGGTTCCCACTTGAGCTCACACTCAAGATGATACCCCACCCCCGCCACCAGCCACCAAGACTCTTCCCGGGGATTCTGGGTTGTATCAAGTTGACCGTGAACTCACTAGTACCGGCCATCTTCTGCTGCAAGCAGGGCACAGTTGGATGTGCCTGAAAGGCCCTGTTTCCCATACCTGTGTATTAGGAGGCCACTGCTTCAACGGGAATTTTATAGGAACAACACGATTCACTAAGGATTTCAGCATGTGCTCTAACAGGGAGTCACTGGAGTCAGTTGTCACCACTGTAGAGGTATAGACACAGTAATGAGACCCAGTTGGGGACAGGGGGTCATTCCTTCTATATGTGTATGTGTCTGTACGTGTGTCTGTGCGTATGTATGTGCATTGGTGCTCTTGTGGGGGTCAACTGAGGTCCTGAGGATTGAACTCAGTTCACCACTAAAACCTGCTGAGCCATCTCCTAGAGCCCTGCTTAGCCCTCTCCCTAGGGCCTCTCTCCGTGTTAACCAGAACAGTTTTACTTAAAAAGAGAAAGTAGCAGGTTAGTAGAAGACCATTTGTAGACTGCAAACCTCAGTGCACAGAGCTGACTGTGGTGCTTCTGTCCCGGCAGAGCTGGGGTGCTCTTTTTCCTGACCACCAACCAGTGTTTCACCAGTGTGTCAGCTGTGGAGCTCTTCGTAGTGGAGAAGAAACTCTTCATGTGAGTAGGCCACTGTCCTAGCTGTGTGTCAGACTGGTCACGTCCAAAACTGGGTCAGAATAGCATCCTAATAGTATCCATATTTCTTATTTATCTGCTTCATTGAGAAATATAAATTGCGTGCATATTTATACTATTCAATGTGAATTTTTAAAAGTGCATAGGACTATAGTATTAAGAACGAGGAGTCTTGGTAAGGGTGGAAAATTCAGAGCATATGGTGCCTGCTACCAGAGAAAGGCGATTTTCAAGTTTGGGTTGAAGTTAGGCAATCCCAGTGCTGAGAGAGAAAGCAGCATCAGCAGGGCTGAAAAAGTAACTTGTTTTGATTAATCACAGGTTGATATAACTCCAGCACAGGAAGTGAAGGGCTTCTGGAAGTTGAGTGGTTCAGCAGCCAGAAGTGGGAAGATCACGATTGCAAAGGCAGAGCAAGTACAAGCCTTGGCGGGTGGAGGCATGGAAGGAGCCAGAGGACAGTTTCACTGTAGGGAGCTGGCTGGGTTTTCTCCCTTGTTCTTCAAAGGTTGCAGAGATTTGCCCGCCTTTATTTACCAACAAAATGAATCAACAGACATCAAAGGAACAAAGACACTGGTGGAAGAGTTTGGAATAACTGGAGAAAGATGTCAGGAACAGGAGGGATTAGCTAGTAGCTGGAAGGGCTATAAGGTTGTAAGGTATGCTTAAAGAAGGAAGAAGTTTTGTTCTGATGCCCGAGTCCACAACAGCCAGAGGAAGTGCTGGGCTGAGAGAGGGTCACAGTGTAAGAGCTGCCTGAAGCTGAAAGGCCAGGAAGGGTGACACTTAAGATGGCGAAAGGCTTGGGGGTCAACCTGGAGCATGTGGGAGGACCCTAGGAGTGCGACAGGTACCCTATCTTCTGTTCCGTGCTTTCTGGACTAATCTGAGATCTATGTTCTGTATTTTCATAGACACGAGTACATCAGTGGATATTACAGAGTATCTTCTTACTTCTTTGGAAAGCTGATATCTGACTTACTACCCATGAGGTTTTTGCCAAGTGTTATATTCACTTGTATATTATACTTCATGTTAGGTAAGTAATAGGCCAGACGAAATTGCCTTTAGTCTTGGATGTAAAGTGAACTAATTTCTCTTTGTATATTTTTATTGATCTTTTTCTATGTGTCTATATTAAAAAGACACAGAAAATCTTAATAACTACACATACTCTGATGCATATTCTCTAATAATAAAACCATGTTGAGTTTGGGGATTGTTTATTTTATTAACTAAAAAAAGAAATCACTGAAAGATATAGACAGATTTATTTTTACATTATGTCCAGGCTTTGGCCTTAGGATCACTGATTCAAAATTTCATGTACACATGCATACATACTGGTAATTCTATTTTTACAAAGCACTATAGTATGAGAACCACCAATAGAGCTTAAAACTTCCATTTTATATGTGAGGTTTATCATAATGAATATGACATGGCATCGAGAGCCTTAGATTCTTGATCCATTTTCTTGTCAGTGTTTCAAAATCATCAGGTTGTATGATATATACATAGTCATATATGTATATATACATATATTTACCTCATAGTTTATAAAGTACTTCAAGAACTTAATGCCATTTTTTATGTCTAGGGAGACATAGGTGATATAAGAACCCTCCATTCCTTTGTATACTAAACCCTGAGGTCATTTAATTGTGAACCAAGTTTCTTCCCTAATGTAGTTAGAACAAATACTGAGAGATGTGGGGATGTCTGGATGAATGAGTGTTTTCTGTTGGTGAACTTCCTGTGGCGGGAGAAGGCAGTAGTAATGGAGCCAGTGTGGAGCCTGTAGCTGTTCATTTAAGGAGCTCAGAATTATTCTTGCTACATCTAAAGAAATCTACATGTTATCTGAAATACTGCTCCTAAAACAAGCATGGGAAAGGAAACTGTTAGCTGATCAGTGACACAGAATAAAGCAATGACATTGGTGACCTTTTCTCTTTAATTCTGATGGTGATTGCTACAGTGTTATTTGCACAACAGACAAACCCAATACACGAGGCAGCGGCACTGATTGCTTTTTCTCTTTCTCAGGACTAAAAAACGAGGTGGGGGCTTTCTTCATCATGATGTTCAGCCTTATGATGGTGGCTTATACAGCCAGCTCCATGGCACTGGCCATAGCTGCAGGCCAAAGTGTGGTATCCGTGGCAACACTTCTCATGACAATCTCTTTTGTATTTATGATGGTGAGTATGGACAGTGCTTCTCGGAGAAGACACTCCTGGCCTTGTTCTCTCTGTATATCCATCTGTTGTAGAAATCTGCTTTGCGGATTCTTTCCATTGGGACTGTGCCCCTTTTAGAAAGCCAGAGGCTCAAATAAAGTGACTGTTAGGGAAACTGATGGCTTTGCTCCCAACCTCTGTCAAGTCCCTTGTGTTGCTACTGAATGTCGCTGTGACTTTGCAGACAGAGCCTCACTAACAAGCTTCTAAAAGCTGGTTTTTACCCAGGTGTGGTGGTGTATATCTGCAGCCTGGCACTCAGGAGTGTGGCTGGGCGTTCAAGCCAAGCCTGAGCTACAGTGAGACCCTGTCTCAAAACTGCTGGCATTGAAACCACTGTACCTTGTGAGTTTATTGTTATGCAGTAAATTCTGTTGTCACGGAAAAGGGGAAAAGTCACAGAAATGGAAGAAAATACTTCTTGCTGATCTGATGTTAGACAAACTTGGGATCATTGAAAACAGGGATTAACATTGACTCCTTAAAAAATGGCAGCATATCTTTTATGGTGTTTACCAGTTAGTAACCAGAAATGGCTTGGTTGAATTCCTGCAAAGGAGAAAGTGAAGCTTGGGAGAAGTTAACTGTGTGCCAAAGAGTCTGTCTTGGGTCCCTCTTATAACTTGAATATCATTTTTAAAATAGTAAAACATAAGAAAGCGTGGTAGTGTATGTTCATAATCTCAGCCCTCGAGATATTTTAGAGGCAGAAGGAACAGGAAATTGAAGTCATCTTTAGCTACATAGTAACTTTGAGGGCAACCTGCTCTACCTGAGACCATATCTTTAAGAAGAAGCTGGGAACTTTCAAAGTCCACCTACCTTCAGTAGATACCTATTTATTTCACATTGTTTAATGTGTCCTCACTCCTAATCTTGTATATGTCTCAATTTTGCACGCGTGATAAATCAGAAGGAGCAGCTCCCATGGTTTTTCTCCTGCATCACTAAATAGGAACAGCTAGCACGTAGGCACATAGTCCTCTTCGCTAGAGGTGGCCGTACTCTAGTGAGACGGCACTAGCTGAAGTCCGGCTAAGCTTTAGTTCCTTCAGTTTTCAATTTTGAAACAACCGATGTATATATTATTTAGAAAATAATCATCCTTGTTTATAGTCTCATCCAATAAATAAAATACCTTTAAACAAGTAAAAAAAAATATGTTTTAATTTCTGTTTGGGCTGATTGCTATGTAGTGTTTATTACAAACAGGACTTCAAAGCCAGTGCTCAATCCGTGTTTTACTCAGAGATGGAATGTCGTAAGATCAGTTCTCAGTGCATTCCTGAACATGCACACGCAGCCCGCCAGCACTGTCATTGTCCTGCATATCCCAGCGCTCTTAGTATGGCAGAACACACTCCGTGAGAACCTCATTTTGCATATTTTTAACCTTATGTGGTCAATTCCTGGCATCACCACTGTGGTTCTGCTTTTGGGGCAGTCTTTTTATTTATTTTGATTTTTGGATTATGTGCATGTATGTGCATCTGTATGCAGTGACTCAAAGGCCAGAAGACAGTGCCAGACTCTCTGGAGCTGGAGTAGTGGTTGTGAACCACCTAATATGGGTGCTGAGGACCAAACTCAGTCCTCTGCTAGAGCAGCGATTGCGCTTGACTGCTGAGCCATCTCTGGCCGCATAGGTAAGCTCACATGGAGGTACTAGTTATGTCTTCTGCTGCACATCATCACCACGTCATGGTCTCATCTGTCCTAATTTGGAGATTATGTTGTACCTGCATTCTGAATCTAAAGTAGTTCCTACAGCCATGGCTATAGAATATAATTTTGTAAATCAAATCTCATCTGGATGTACAGCAACCTGTTTGTCCTGAATTATTCTAGTGTTCTCTATATTTCTAGGATTATTAGGAGGAGCGCATATGGGTGACATAGTTAGAATCACATAGCAGTCTGTTTCCCATGTCCGTATCAAAAGATTCAACTGGAAAAAAAGTATACTTTCTTGGGTATGCATGACACTTTTCTCTCCATGTCATTATTCCTTAAAGAACACTATACTCCAGTAATGGCATCTTCTATCTGTAATCCTAACATTCGGGAGGCAGAGTCAGGAAGATTACTCCAAATCTGATGCCAGCCTCACCTACATAGAAAATTCTAGAGCAGCCAGGACTACATAGGGATACTGTCTCATTCACTTATTCCATTTATCCATAAATAATAAATGAATATGCCAACTTTTTATTCAGCATTCGTGTTGTATTAGGCATTTTAATCACTCTGCAGATAATCTGTGATCGCTTGTAATGTGTCTATTTTGAGTATAAAGGCTGAGCTGGAAAGAAGGTTTAGCAGATAAGAGCACTGGCTGCTCTTTCTGACGATCTAGGTTTGATGCCCAGCACTCACAGGGCAGCTTGCAGTTGTCACTAATTCCAGTTCCAGGGGGCCTACCACCCTCTCTGGCCTCCTGGGGCTTCAGGAATGTGTGCAGCACACTTACATACAGACAGAACACTCACACACACACACACAATAAAAATGAATAGAACCATAAAAGCTGCGTGCAGGTTACATTAAAGTACTGTGTCATCTTCAAAATGAGATAATTGCTTATCTGAATGTAGTTTAGTGTCGGAGGCCTGGAACCAACTTTTTCCCATGGGAGACCAGGGGATGGTTCTGTTTCTTGATCTTCCATTGCAGTTATACAGGAAGTTGAAGACATAGTTAAACTATTAAGGGTCATCAAATAACTTGAATCTATAGTACTAATTATGGGTGCATTATCCTCCCTTAATGCCATAAATAGCCACGACAGAAGTACTCACATGGAGGTACAATAACTGGAAGTTTTCTTTCGTACTGCCTTAGCCTTAGCAGTGATGTTTAGCAGATGTAGGTTATTTGCGGGGGAGGTTTTTTTTTTTTTAGTTGTTTTTGTTTTTGAGACCATTGTGCCAGGTATTCCAGGCTGGCCTTGAAATTGTGATCCCTCCGTCTCTGCCTCCTAGGTTTGATTACAGGCATACACTGTCACATTTGTCTACTTGCAAGGCCTCAAAGGAGGTCTTACCTCAAGCTGTGAAATTGCTGGACTGGCTCTAACCTATAGGTTTTGCATCTTGCAGATTTTTTCTGGTCTTTTGGTGAATCTCACAACCATTGAGCCTTGGTTGTCCTGGCTCCAGTACTTCAGCATTCCTCGATACGGCTACACAGTAAGTTGTCCTTGCTTGTCATGGTGACCGGAGTCCCAAACTAGGCATGGTGGAACGATGCCTAACCTTGTCGTATGCTCAAGTGGGACCCTGTCCCATCCAGGTTTCCTCCCAGAAACAGTGGCTAATCATTTCCTATTAGTCTTTGTTATTGGAGGGTCGAGGAGTCATCTGGGGTTTTCCATAGTCAACCCATTTTTAGAGGGACGTGAAGAGTAGGCAGAAATCACATAAAAGAGAAGTGTTGACTAATTGATGAAGAATATTGGTTTTCTGTTCAGTAAGGAAGTAAATGGAAGAGAGTATGGGGGCTGTACTGCATGGTTTATATTGGAACTGAGATCTGAAGAGAAGTCGACCGTAGTACTCAGCAACCGTGTTGGCTATAGCAACTAATCAAACACAAAACCGTTGTGTCTTAAATTCAGTACAATGAAATTTCTGATTTCCATTATTATTACTTTTTTCTGAAAACAAGAAAAGGTTGTTCCTACAAATGAACAGTGTTCACTAAGCATCACTGTATCATTTTAATTATAAAAGTTATGGGTTATAAAATTGGGATGAGGATGCTCTGGGGTAGTCACAAGTCTTCCCTCTTGGCCAGTTGGAAGTTGCATCCCAGCCCTGAGTTTCTTGATTGCCTGTTTTGGTGTTTAAGAAAAGAGGAGAAAGAAAGATTGTGCATAAGCAGCTTGGTATGCTTTTAGAAATAACAATAAAGATTAAATTTGAGCATGAGATTGTGATGACTCTTTAGAAACCTTCTGGAATTTCACACTACTGACATTGCTGTGTTCTTGTATGTATTCTAGGCTTTGCAGTACAATGAATTCTTGGGACAGGATTTCTGTGGCGGACTCAATGTAACCGCCAACAACACCTGCGATTACAGCAATATGATGTAAGTCTGTGTCCAGTGTCACAGTATGTTTGTGTCTTCCTGTGGCGTCCTGTAAAGCAGCTACTGCGCTTAGAGGTGGGAGGAGTCAAACTTCCCAGTCTGTGAAGGGATCCCTTATACACTATTTCATGTGACCATGTTGAAGCTCCTATAACCTATACCAGTCACTGCCATATTTAATATATAAAAAAAAAACTTCCCTGTGTATTGAGTGAGATGTTTTAAAAGTTCCCTTTGGTATTTTTTTAATTGGGTTTGAATTCTTACTTTGCAGAACTTTGGGGTTAATAAATGGGCTGTTTGATAGTTTGGAAGGGACTTGTGGTCTCTGATCCAGAATGGATTACAACCCAGAGCCCAGAGTGGAAGAGAGTTGCAAGCATTAGAGCAGGGAGGGCAAGAAGGGGGTCACTGATCGCTGTGACCCTGGTACCACTTTCTGCCTCACTGCCTTTGGGAACATCATGGAACTCAAGGCTGCCAGCTGGTGTGTGTGTGTGTGTGTGTGTGTGTGTGTGTGTGTGTGTGTGGTGTGTGTGTATGCTCGTTTAAACTGATTTGAAACTCTCCCTAAAGAGGATGCACTCTTTCAAGACTTAAAATAGAATTCAGGTCCTAATAAATTAAATGACTTTATTTTAAAATGTTAATACTTTTATGATATTTTTATTTAGAGATTAATGAAAGAAAAGAGTGCTGATCTCTCAAATATCTCCTGAATGCTCAGTTGTAAAAAGTACTACTAGTTAATAGGATGGTTTTCTATTTTGGGTTGTGACAGACAAGGGGTTTTTCCTTGAGCGCTTTTCTTTGCCTGCCCACCTCATTTTGGTTTGACTTAGGTGTGGCTTGTTCCTAACACAAAGTCCCAGCCAGTCAGTGGTAAGGCAGGAGGAGGAGTCATGGCAGGCTTCATGCTCACACACACAAGGATGGAATGGCTGGTTTGAAAGCTGCTGAATCCCACCATGCACAGGAAAAACAGCCACAGTAATTGTGGCCACATGGGCTGGATTCCCTGCTGGGGCCACTCCACCCCGCCATGCTCTCCTTGCTCCCTAAGGCTGTCAGCTGTGCCCTCTGGCTGAATGTCTGCACGCAGCAAAAGCTGACAGACGTGTCCCTGGCTGACAGCCACTGTGCCCCTCTGGCCAGATGTAGCTTTCTGACCTGTTGCGTTCACTGTGTGGGTGAAGGACTGAACCTGGCATAGCAACAGCTGAGGTAATGAGTCAGTGTTTCTGCCCTCAGACAGCAGCATTATAGGTTTAAATCTAATGAGTCTGAAGAGACAAGAAACTTAGTTCATACTAAGACTATGTTAACTTGACCAAATTTGCTAAACCACTTAATAGTTATACTCTTTTGGATTCTTTTAGGAATTAACTTAATTAGGTACACGTTGCTTAGCATAGAATCTAGTAAGTTACAGAGGAGAGTGCCGATTTGACTAACCTGTCAATACTGAATATACTGATTAATATTTGATAGATACGGGGATGAACCTAATTAATTTTGTACATTTAAATTTCAGGACTTGTACTGGTGATGCCTACTTGGAAAGACAGGGCATCGATCTCTCACCTTGGGGACTGTGGAGCAATCACGTGGCTCTGGCTTGTATGATTATTATCTTCCTCACAATTGCCTACCTGAAACTGTTATTTCTTAAAAAGTATTCTTAAATTCCCCTTTACCATACTATTAATTGTACTCCCATTAAATGCAGACACTTTGATTGATGTATCCAGTGTTCTTTTTTGATGTACATAAAATTACTAACTCTGAAAACTTAAGGACATTATATATTATGTATTAAGCTTATCGAATAGTAATCACGAGGGAAAAATCCAGTTAGATTTACTGAACTGAAAAGGCAGAGTTGAATTCTAGATACTACTAACATATCACTAATGTGTCTGATATAGGTTATCATCTTTAAAGTTGATGTGCGGAAGCCAGGCATGGTGGCACACCCTGGTAGCCCTGGCACTTGGTACACAAAAGCAGGGCTGCTGTTCAAGGCTGGTTTAGACCCTATGCTAAAATAACTGTAAGAGAGGCAATCAGGTAGGTCAGTGCCCTTTAATAGTCGGTGAAGTTATAATCTGCTATTTGATAACTAATAAATATATTCAAGCTGTATTAGAAGTCTGAAATCTATGTCAGGAAAACACCTTTTCCCCAGGGGTTAAAAAAAAACTAATGATCATAGAAAATACTATTTGATAAACTTACTGATACAACATATAATTATCTTTGCTGATTGGAGACTGAGTTATAGGTGTGGTAGAAGGCCAGAGGTCTTATGATACAGCTTTGTCTCATTTCTGGAATGTTCTAGTCCCGAACGGTCACTTATCCTGTGTGGTATAGCTCAGGGATATAATCTGAATATGGGTGTCGTCTTAGAAACATTACCAAGACACAGACGTAAGGTCCTGCATCTGCCCTGTTGCCCCATAGAAAATGCACCACTTAGGGACTTAGAAATTCCCAATTGTTTCTAGCCCTTGAAATTAAGACTGGGGCTTAGTAACTGTTTATATACCTCTTATACATGTTTGCCCCCTTGTTCATCTCATTTCCATAAGCTCTCTTCCTTCTAACACTTACCAGTAACGCATAAGTATTTACCAGATAATGTGAGAAGTTTTTTAGCTTCCTTTTAATTAAAAAGCAAGCACCCTTTCCACTATTGCTAGGAGTCTTAGCTGGGGTCATTTTTGTGGATTCCTGGCAGTTTCTCTGGCACCAGGTTTCTCTCTAACCCCAAAATGGGCCCTCTATCAAGATATCTTGTCCCCAACTTGGCCAGCCCATCTCTCATGTTCCCATTCCTCCCCCGATCCTCTTCCCCCAACCCCCAGTTTATCCAGGAGATCTCATCTATTTCCCCTTCCCCTGGTGATCCATGCATCCCTCTTTGGGTTGTCCCTGTTACCTAACTTGTCTGGGGCTGTAGATTGTAGCCTGATTACCCTTTGCTTTACATCTAATATCCACTTATGAGTGAGTGCATACTGTTTGTCTTTCTGGGTCTGGGTTACCTCACTTAAGATGATTTTTTTTTCTAGTTCCATCCATTTGCCTGCAAATTTTACCATGTCCTTGTTTTTTTTTTTACCACTGAGTACTATTCCATTGTATAAATGTACTACCACACTTTCCTTATCCATTCTTTTCTTTCATTTTTCTTTTTTTTGAATTTTCGAGACAGGGTTTCTCTGTAGCTTTTGGTTCCTGTCCTGGAACTAGCTCAGGCTGGCCTCGAACTCACAGAGATCCACCTGCCTCTGCCTCCAGAGTGCTGGGATTAAAGGCGTGCGCCACCACCGCCCGGCGTCCTTATCCATTCTTGAGTTTAAGGGCATCTAGGTTGTTTCCAGGTCTGACTACCCTAATTGTCATCATGATGGAGTGATGGAGGAAGGTCATTGGTTAAATAAAAAGAAACTGCTTGGCCCCAATTGGTTAGAAGATAGGTGGGAGGAGTAAACAGAACAGAATGCTGGGAGGAAGAAGAAGTGAGCTCAGACTCCACAGCTCTCCTCTGGGGAGCAGACGCCTCAGAGAGAGACTCCATGCTCCCAGCTCCCAGGCAGACACACGCCATGAAGCTCCGACCCAGGATGGACATAGGCTAGAATCTTCCTGGTAAGCGCACCTAGGGGCACTACACAGATGATTAGAAATGGGCTAAATTAATATGTGAGAATTAGCCTAGAAGAGGCTAGATAGAAATGGGCCAAGCAGTGATTAAATGAATACAGTTTGTGTGTTGTTATTTCGGGCATAAGCTAGCCAGGCAGCCGGGGTGCTGGGGACGCAGCCCCGCCACTCTTATTACTACAATGGAGCAGATGCACAGATCCACAGCTGAGCGTTGGGCTGAGCTCCAGGAGTCCAGTTGAAGAGAGGGAGGAGGGATTGTATGAGCAAGGGGAATCAAGATCATGATGGGAAATTCCACAGACACAGCTGACCTGAGCTAGTGGGAGCTCGTGGACTCTGGACCAACAACTGGGTAGCCTGCATGGGACTGACCTAGGCCCTCTGCATCTGGGTGACAGTTGTGTAGCTTGGTCTGTTTGTGGGGCCCCTAGCAGTAGGATCAGGACGTGTCTCTGGCGCGTCATCTGGCCTTTTGGAACCTATTCCCCATACGGAGATGCCTCTATCAGTCTTGATGCAGGGGAGTAGCTTGGTCCTGCCTCAATTTGATAAGCCATGCATGCTTTGTGGACTCCCATGGGAGGCCTGCCTCTTTCTGAACAGAAGCAGAGGAGGAGTAGATTGGGGGAGAGGATAGATGGGAGGTGGAGGTAGAGAACTAAAATATAGGAGGGAGGAAAACTGTGGTTGGTAAGTAAAATAAATGAAAAGATTTAATTAAAAAAGGCAAGGTAACACAAGGTACAGTTCAGGGAATCACCATAAACTGAAGACTCAACGTTCAGCCACTGTTGCTGCTCAGAAAATAGGGCACAGTGCACAAATGTTCATCGTGCCCCACCTCCCCGCTATGCCTTGCTTGCGCCAACACTTGTATACCCCTCCATGTGACTATTACTAGAACATTCCTGGAGCTCGGTTTTATGCTCTCATATACACACATATGCTCATGTACACACAGAAATCTCCTTCTTAGTTTGCATTTGCTTTATTCTTATTTAAAAACATTCTTACTTTATTATCATAATATAATTTGCATGTTAAATAACACCATAATAGAATGATTTGATGTATTTGAAAGTAATAGAAATTTGAAGCAAAAGAAAAACTTAAGGTTACAAAACCCATCCCCTAGAACAGTTTTTGCATTTATTTCACTATTATTTTTTGAGAATTCCATACAGGAGTCCTGTTTTTATACCATTTCCACCCCACTTTCCCCTGTCTTCTAAGTCCTCCATGCCTTCTGTGGTGGTTTGAAAGAAAATGGCCCACAAAGGGAGTGGAACTGTTAGTTGGTGTGGCCTTGTTGAAGGAAGTGTGTCGCTGTAGGGGTGGGCTTTGAGGTTTCTTTCTAAAGCCTCCTTCAGTGTGACAGTCGACTTCTGTTGACTCTGAGTTAAGATGTAGCCTCTCAGCTCCAGCACCATGCCTGCCTCCAGGTCACCATGCTCCCCACCCTGATGATGATAACTAAACCTCTGAAACTGTAAGTGAGCCATTTCAATTAAATGTTTTCTTAATAAGAATTGCTGTGGTCATGGTGTCTCTTGACAACAATAAAAACTCTAAGTCACCACCTCTACTCCATCTCAACCTCATGACCTTTTAAAAAATTGCACACAGGAATATAATCTGCTGGGTTCATTTAGTGTTGCTCATATGTGGGTATGCATATGTATACTTATACAAATATACATATTTAAGGTTGACTACCCATCAGGGGGCTCATCCCGGAAGAAGGCTGATTGTCCATCTTTTCTCAGTCTTTAATTGCCTATAATTCTCCATGTAGAAGTGGGGCCTTGTAATATTTCCACTGTCCATGACAGGGTGTGCAGGTCTTGTTTAGGCAGCCATATTGTTGAGATTTCAAGGTTTCAAATTCCCTGTCATTCCATGTATAGAAGATACTGTCTCATAGCAGATATCAGGTCCTCTGGCTCTTAACATCTTCCTGCCCTCTTTTCTACAATGTCCCCCTTGTCATTTGATGTAAGGGTTGTGTTGTAGATGTATCAGTTAGGGATGTGCACCCTACAGTAAGTTATTCTCTACATTTCGACCAGTTGGGGCAATATGTAATTGTCTCCTTTTATGAGGGGTGAGAGCTACACTTACCTTTGGCTATAAGGATAGATGTTTAACATTAACACTGGGTTAATGTGGCAGTAGTGGATTCTCTACTAAGGTACAGGACCTCACCAGCAACAGGAGGTTGGGATTATAGTACCAGGTGTGAATTTCCTCCTATTAAGAAGGCCTTAAGTCCTCCTTTGGGAACTCTGAGATACTGTGAGAGATAGTCCGCGGGGAGAGGCTTCCAGATCTGTTCCAGCTGGATAGATACCCCAAGTCCCGTGTTCAAAGTGCATGGTGTCTTCAGCAGTAGGGTTCTTACAACCAGTGACTACTCTTGGCTGGTTCCTGTTGGTTAATGGGATTAAAAAGAAAGTAAAGCTTTCATAGTTACTGTGTAAAGGGTTCACACATGTTGAGTTCCTTTAGATACAAAAGTACTTGCTTCTGCTTCAGTGCACTGAAATTTGAAATTATATCCTCATCATTGAAAAGAAACATAATTGAAACTAGAAAAAAATAGATTTATATCCACTTTAATTTTTCCTTTCTCTTTGCCTCATATTACCCTCTCTTGATCCCTTGAAATTTTAAGCTTTACCCACACCTACAGCTGTTTATATGGATGAATACATTATAGGCCAGGGTTCACATGTGAGAGAAAACATTCAGTTTTTCTTTCAGAGTTTGGATAACCTTGCTTAATACTATTCTTCCTAAGTTCATCAATATTCCATGATTTCATTTTCTTTACAGCTGAATGATATCATATTATGTATGAATAACACAAATTCATTATCCAGTCATGTGCTGATTGACATTTAGGCCAGTTCCATTACCTTGCCATCATGAATAGCACAACCATAAACATGGATGTTCAAATACCTCAGTAGCAGGATATGGAGTTCTTTACCTATATACCCGAGAATGGTATAGCTATGTCATATAGTAGTTTTATTTGTAATACTGTGAGAAGCTTCCAAACTGATTTG